GAACAGTGTTTAGCACACAAAGATCCTTGAACATTTTTGTTGATTTAATGAATAAATGAGTGAGCAAAAGAATAAACCAGTGGTTCTCAAAAGGAAGCTGATTTGGGGCCCCCCAGCAGTGTCTGAAAACACTTTTGGTTGTCACAACTGGTAGGCCGCCACTAACATCTAGTGGGTAGAGGCCAGGGATGCTGCTAAACATCTTATCGTGCACAGGACGGCCCTCGCGACAGAGGATGTCCAGCCCCAAAGGTCAGTAGCGTCAACCCTGGAATAACTGAGTGAATGAGTTAAATCCTCCAGGTGCGTGCAGTGAAGCTGTACAACAACAAACATCAAAGAACCTGACCAATGTCCCCTTCTGGTCACCAACTTCCTTGATTTTGTGGGCCACAGTTCAGCAGAAATCTCTCTTCAGTGATTGGATTGTTGGGATGGCTTATGTAGTGTTAACAAGAAATATAAATAAGAGGAAGTTAAGTGGCTATAGATGTAAGGAGTTAATTTCAAAATATGTAATTCCGTGCCCTAATCAAAGAGAACTGAAATTTGTCTAGTTCCCTGATTCTGTGGGTTATTTTCCTTGGTAACAGTGGACCTTCCTTAAAATTAAATAATAAGCTCTTAGTGAGATCTGCTTATGTATCATATTTTAATATTTTAAAAATAGATTTTAGAGTGGAAAAGGGGCAGGTTGGCTTGTTCCCCAAAGTCACTGGGGACCCAAGACAGCAAGGGGTCCTCACTTATTGAGGCAAACAGTCTTCCTAGAATAACAACAGAGAGAAACCAAATTCTTCATCTCTTCAGTGTGATAGAGTGTGATGTCTGTGTGTGCATGTCTGTGTCTGTGTGTCTCTATGTCTGTATGTGTCTGTGTGTGTCTGCGTGTGTGCGTGTGCGCGTGTGTCTGTGTGTATGTGTGTGGCTGTATGTGTGTGAGTGTGTGTGTGTCTGTGTCTGCGAGTCTGTGGAGGGGGGGGTGCGGGGGGTGGGGGGAGTTTTGATTAGAGATGTGCCTGTGTTGATTTCTGAGAACGGGCAGCCACCAAGACAACATCTGTACCATCACCTACCCCCCTCTCCTCCCTTGCCCCCCACCCCACCAGCTTCCCTGAGTCAATGTCAAACACACAGGTGTCAGGAATTCTCTGAGTTCTTTCAAATGTACATTTAACTTATCCAAATCCGCACCCTAGAAAGCTGAAGAACCACCTAAGTCAGGATGCTCCGCCAGGGGCGACTTTGCCCCTCGGGGACACCTGGCCATGTCTGGAGTCATAATTCAGGAAAAGAAGGAGCAGCGCTACTGGCATCTAGTGGGTGGCGGACAGGGATGCCGCTAAAGTCCTTCAGTGCACAGGACAGCCCACCACAGAGAATTATCCAGCCCCAGACATCAACAGAGCCAAGGGTGAGAGAGCCGGATCTGAATGGGGTGGGAGCCGTAAGACTGAGCCCTGGAAATGCTGTCCCCCTACAGAGTTCGTCCTGAGCGCTGCCCCTAAGCACAGTGTGATGTAAGATGTGGACTCCAGGGCGAGACTCCCCACCCTGCCACTTCGTGGCTGTGTGACGTCCGGCAAGTCACTCCACTCCTTCCCTCAACTTCTTTATTCCTGAAACCAATAAAAATCCTAGTATCTACCTCATAGGTGTGTAATACAGATTAAATGAATTATTATAAGTAAAACACCTAAAATAGTGCCTGCATATCATAAGTGCTAGGAAAGTGTTTGTTATTGTTTTTCATTCGATATAACTTCCCCTAAAACACGGCCAACAGTTTCATCTGCAGCTCATTTTGAGGAACAGCTTTCGTATCCAACAGGGTAAGATAAATGGATGGAGAAAGACCACTTGAAAGACAAAATGTTATTCTACTTGAGAGGCTAGTTAGGGATTTTTGAGGGTAGTTTCGATTTCATGTGGTTTTTGCCCTGGGACCTGGTCCCCACTGACACAGGACTCCCTGTGGTGTTCTTCTCACTGAGCTGAAGGAGGACCAACGACAAAACACGGACCAAACCAGCCCTGACAATTGAGACCCAGATCAGGTCCAAGGAATGTGCCGGAAGCAAGAGGAGATTGTCCTCCTCGGGTGGGAACCCATGAAAGCCGTGGCCGCCGAGTCCCAGCGGATTTTGTGCAGACAGTGCCTTGAAAGCATGAACATGACTTTCCACAGAAAGGACAGTCTTCAGCTCCAGGGACAACCCCAGTGCGATGTCCTGCTCCAGCTGGGGACACGCCTCCACCCAGTCCTGCCCACAGAGACAGGACACGGAAGTCCCACTTATGGCCAGGCACCAGGTACCATTTATGAAGCCCACATGAGGTATCGGGGTCCCACTCGTCTTGCTACATGTTTCTCACTTGATTTAATCCGCTTTGCACAACCCTGTGATGGAACTAATATCATCACCATTTTACAAGTGAAAAAATGGGGGATCCGGAAAGTTCCTGACTTGTTCAAGGTCACCATGAACCAAGGGTCAATACGAGGCTTCCCTGGGAGTGACCGGGGTGGAGCAGCCCCTGGGTTGGAGGAACTGTGGGCTGGCAAGCAGGACGTGGATCTTGGTGAACGGAATCATAGAAAAGTTTGCAGGAAATAGAGGCTGAAGCTTCTAGGCTCCAAGGTGACTCACAGCACTCTGGCCTTTGCCTCTGGCAGCCCAACACGGCCGAGGTAGGTGGCAGAACACCAGGAATGTGTGTGGGGGTGGTGACTGGGTCTCCCAGGGAGATGAGGAAGCTGTGTAGCTCTCCTGCACCCTTTAATTAGAGCTAAGTAAGATTCTGATCACGTCAATGCCCTGCATAAATTCCAACTCTAGAACTAAATTGTCCAGTATAGTAGCCACAGGTGACTATTTCAATCAAAACTGAATATCCAAATTTCTGTCCCCTGGTCACACGAACCACAGATCAAGTGCTCAGCAGCCAGTGTGGCTGGTGGCTACCATATCAGACAGCAGAGATATGGTACATTCCCATTCTCATAGCAAGTTCTAGCAGACATCACATCTCCACAACTCTGCTTATAAGCCCTTCATAGTGTGGTCCCAGACTTCTCCCCAGAGAACCTCTCTCCACTCTCTAAGCTCATCGTGCCTCTGCGCCTTTGCATGTGACACCCTGCCCTCCTTCCCTGCTTAGCTAACTGCGACCCATCCTCGGGTCTCGGCTCGGCCGTCACTTCTTCCCCCGCCCAAGCATGTAAACACTGAGTCGTAACAGCCAAGGGCAGACCTACGTCCTATACCCTGGCACCAGTGGTTTTCAACTGGGGACATTTGGCAGTGTCTGGAGACATTATTGGGGGGATGCTACAGGCATCTGGTGAGTAGAGGCCAGGGATGCCTTTACCCCATCCTACAATGCACAGGACGGCCTCACAGCAAGAAGTACCTGGCCCAGAATGTCAGCAGTGTTGAGATTGACCATCTCTGCTGTCAACTAGGCAACTCTTTATAGGCAAGGGAATGTGTCCTTACACCACATCTCCCCAGCCACCAGCCCAGGGTCAGGTACACAGGAGGTGGTCAATAAATGAATATACAATGAGTTTAGATGTCATACAAGATTTTTTCCCCAGGATTCCAGTTAGTTCACAGTGTCTTCCCTTAAAGACAATCACTGATCATTATGGTAGGCTGAATAATGCCCCCCCCCCCAATATGCAGGCCCTAACCCCTGGAACCTGTGAGTATTACCACACATGGCAAAGGGGCCTTTGCAGATGTGATTAAGATCTTGAGATGGGGAGGTTATCTCAGATCATGCTGCTGGGCCTTAAATGCAACCACAAGTAACCCTGTAAGAGGAAAGCAGAGGGAGATTTGACACAGAGCTAAAAAGCAACAACGTGAAAACGCAGCAGAGAAAGATTTGAAGATGCTCCGCTGCTGGCCTTGGGAATGCAGGCAGGGACCCCAAACCAGCGAGCACCAGGACCTGGAAAAAACGAAGAACAGATGTCCCCCCAGAGCCTCCAGAGGGAGTGTGGCCCTGCTGACACATGACACCCCTTGTCCTCAGCCCAGTGAAACCGACTTCAGACTGCCGGCCTCCCAAACTGTGAGAGAATACATTTCTGCTGTCTCAAGTCACGGAGTTGATGGTAATGTGTTACTCTGGCCCCAGGAAACGAGTGCTGTCCTAGTCCATGCCGAGGTTTACTGGATTTGAATCAGAGAACTGAAAAGGAACGACATGTAGGTGCCAGGTCCCCATGCCTGCTGGCTGCATGGCTGGAAAGAGAGATGGGGCAGAAGCCGGTGAGGGCGTGTCACGGAGCTAAGGGTGTTTCTAGATGTGGCAGCCGCCTGGGTCATCAGCAATCATGTTTACGGGTCATTTTTCACACCTCCGTTCTGCCGCTTTCTGCAATGCTGAAGGCCTCAGGCAGGCAAGTGATGTGACCCAGGACTCTATATCTGGCTGGCTGGAACTGAAGCAGGGATTGGAATAAAAATTCAAGCCCTGGTCCACCTCTTCAGCCTCCTGCCAACCCCTTTCTCCCTTCCCACCACCCGCCAGACATAGAGGATTTTCTCTGACCTTCCAACACCGCCTTAGGGTCTTTGCACCTGCCGTTCCTTCCACGTGGAATTTTTCCTCCAGGGTCTCCCATGACTGGTTGCTTCTCATCATTCAGGTCTCAGCTCAAATGTCACCTCTTCAGAGATGCCCTCCCTGACTGTGTTAAGTGGCCTTGCCCAGTTACTTTCTCTTTCATCACCCTGTTGATTTTCTCCCAAACATCTTTGTTTACCTCTTCAATGTTAGTCCCCTCCCCCTCCCCCCACGACCCCCTTCTTCCCATAGGCTCCAGGAGGGCAGGGACTTTGTCTGACCTGTCCGGGGTGTGCCCCTGGCCCATGCCTGGCACACACTAGGTGCTTATACGCTATGAATGAATGAATGATGAATGGACGTGAATAAATGACTCTGCAGCTTTGGGGGATGCCTGACCAAAGCCAATCCAGACATACCTGATCTTGGCTTTCCGAAAGGCCAGCTCCTCTTCGTTGCCGAAGTCCAAGGACACATCCTCAGTATCATCCACCAGGGCCTGGGTTGGGGTGAGGGGCACCAAAGGCTAGTGACAGACCCACCCGTGTTCACTGTCCTACCCCCACCCTCCCGGCAGTCTGGGGCCCTCCCTTCTCCACCGTCACGTCCATTTGCGGTCCAGCCAGGCCCAGGTCCCGGACTCGGGTATCCCTCCTCCTCCCGCTTTTTCCTAGCGCTCCTGCAGGCTCCTCCGGTCCTCACATCCTTCCCCGCCCAGCATCCCCGCGGCCCTACCTGCTTCATCCTCCCTAGAGCCCACCTGGAGCCCGGAGCCCAGACCCGGGGCTCCGGCTCCGCCTCTCGCCGAGAAAGAGCTGTGATGCCCGCGGGGCGCTGGCGGGACCCGGTGGGGTCAGAGCCTGCGGCCGTCCGGTCGCTGTGACGCCTCCGCGCAGGTCTCCTGTGGGGGCGGGGCGCGCGGGGCCCAGAGCGCAGTCGCGGGCTGGAGAGGTGGGCTCCGCGCCGGGAGGGGGTGGGGCCTGGAGGGTCTCTGGGCCCAGGAGAGAAAGAGCAGGTTCTCAGACTGGAGGGATGGAGGGAGTAAACAAAGCCATGGCAGCGAAGGGATGATTCGGGCTCAGAGGGGAACTTGGGGGCTGTGAACAGTGATCCTGGGAGGAACACAGGGTGTGGATCAGTGAATGAAGTGGATGTTCCATAAATGTCTGAAGAGCAGGTCAATACCTGAATGAATGAATGAATGAATGAATGAACGAACGAACGAACGAACGAATGAACGGGCTGCCTCATTCCGGGCTTGGAGAAGGTCAATGTTTCCCTAAAGTCTCTGATCCCAAGAATTTTCCAGGGCCTTATTAAAAGTAGATTCCCACCTGGCCCTGGAGATTCAGAAGCCTGGAGTGGGGCTCTGGCAGCTGCCTTTTAACAGGTGACACTGCTACAGCCACAGCTTGGGAATCACTCTGACCACAGTGGCAGCTGCATGCACCCAGGTGCCAGACACATACTGAGCACAGAGTAACTGTTATTGGCAGTAATCGCAGTGTTCTGGATGTAAGGCCTTCCTGGGTATCTCCCAGGAGAGAAGCTTGCCACCTGGAAGTTTTTCCTGGCCCAGGACAAGGTCACTTCCCCTCTTTTCTGCCCTCTTTTTCTCCTGACCTCCCACCCCCGGTCAGAGGGCTGAGCATCTAGATGCCAACGCCCCTAGTCCTGCCCTTTGCCCTCCTGGCACAGGCAATAGGGACCTGTCTCCCATCCCTGGTGACCCAGAGAAGGGCTGCTGGTCACACTCAGCCACCGCTGGCCCCGGCAGGGGTGATTGGCCTGGAATATGCCCAAGAGGAGGAAGCAGACCTGCACAGAGCTGCCTCAGTTCTGACCCCTGCACGGGTTCCTCCCTCATTCCCTAAACTAACCCCACAGAAGGCCTGCGGTGTGTGGAGGGAGGGCGCTTTCTCCTGGAGACAGAACGTCATCCTTAGAGGTCAGGGGGTCTGAGTGGGGCCTAGATGCTGCAGCTCTGACAGCCTCTCAGGTGACGCTGATGCTGCTGGCCTGCGCACTGCTCTTTGAACTGGAAGGATCTAAACCACCAAAGCCTGGTTCTCTAGAAAGGCCTCTGGCTCTTCTAACTCAGAGCTGGCTCCAGGCACAGAAGAGTGTCAGACTGAGGGCTGGGCCCAGCTGCCCGGGACAGGTGGAGGTGAAAAGCCGTTGCAGAACATTTAGGGGCTTTTCCTCCTACCCTGATAATCACCAGCTGTTGGTATCTATTATGTTGGGGCTCAGAGAGTCCCCAAGAGGGTGAAGAGGTAGGAAAGCCCCCTTGGAAGCCCCATCTGGGGACAAACGGTCATTGTCAGCCACCGGGTTGGGAGTGCCTCAAGAAACAGCCACAAGTCCTGGCATGTGGAGGTCATCCCACAAACAATGGTCCTGCCGCTCTCTGCAACCCCCAACCTGTCCTCATGGGGGCACAGGCTGAAGATGCAGATAGCAGGGCCAGAGTGGGGTGGTCCGCAAGGGTCCAGTAAGCACTCCCCGGGGAGAGCGCCCTCCCTGCACACACACACCCGGATGACCCTGGGGTCTCTGTGGAATTGGGGTGTGGGCAGAGAACCCAAGGGTTCCCCAGGGACTTCATCATTGGCTCAGAAACTGGCTGCAGTGGATTCACCTGAGGCTGCCGGTTAAAAGGCAGATTCCAGGGCCCACTCCAGGCTTCTGAATCACCAAGGCCAGGGCCTGGGAATCGGCTTTTGATAAGGCCTCTGGGGAATTCTTGGGATCAGAGGCTTTTAGGAAACACTGACCTTCTCTCCTCACACTGGTACCACTGAATGTGGCCACTGGGATCCTGACATAAGCCACCCTCTGCTGGTCTTGGCCCAGAAGGGCTTTGGGGGAGCAGAGCTGTGAGGAGCAGCCCCATTTCTGATCCCTGGCCCTGGAGCCAGAACAACTCAGGGAAGAGACTCCAGGCTTAGGCAGCCGTTGACCTCTGGATGGCCCTTGGAGGTCAACATCTAGAGTTGGGCAGGCCTGCCTGGGAACATGGCTTTGCCACTCCCTGCTGGGTGGCCTTGGGCATGGGACTTCACCTCTCTGACCCCAGTCTCAACATCTGTAAAATCTACCCCCACCCAGCAGGGATTTTGCCTCAACTAGAGAAAAAGTGCCTCCTCAGAGTAGGGGCTCCGAAAACAGTGGCCTTGGTGACAGTGACTTGTGATCATCAGCAGAGAGGCCTAGAGTCCTAGGAACCCCCATGGGCCTTGCAGAACACAGGAGGTGAACCTCATGCCAGGGTGACTCCTCCCACTGAGGGCGTCTGTCTTCGTGGGGGAATGGGGGCTGCACATCCAGCTTGGTTGGCTGTTTCCTGAGCAACTGCCACGGGCTGCACACTGCATGTATCCGGGACACATACATCTGGGACAGAGGACCATGCATGGCCCTTCTCCCCAGATGGGACCTGAGGCCCTGGACCAGGAGGCAGGAGCTTGGGTGGGAGCCAACATGGCTGAATGCTGCCTCCCAGAACTTGTCTGGACCGTGCCCCGAGCCAGGAAGCTCTGCTCTTTATCCTGTGGGAAAGGGCACTTGGCACAGAGACTTCCACAGCGGGAGCCGGCGGTGTGTGTGATCAGGCCCCTCCTCACCCTCAGCCTGGCGCTCCCCACGAGTGGCACTCCCTATGTTCCTCCTGGTCTCTAAGATCTGCCCACCTGCACCTGGCAATGGCCCTGCCAGATCCAGCAAGTAAAATAGGGGAGCCCAGAGAAACCAAACTCAGATAAACAATCATCTTTAGTATAAGTATGTCCCATGCAATATTTGGGCTATACCTATACTAAAAAAATTGTCAATTGTTTATCTCAAAGTCAAACGTGCCTGCTGTCCTGTCTTTCATCTGGCAGCCCTATGACTCCAGGCCAGGGTACATCCAGGCCCACGAGGCCTGGGCTTCCACCCTGATGGGAGCTGTCTGGGCAGCTGCCCCTGCCTCTCTCACCCTCTGCTTCCTGCCGAAGCTGTGCCCACGTCACCATGTCCCTTCCACCTGACCAGTCCCTGTCTTTCTCCATGCTGGCGCCCAGGAGGACAGAGCAGATTGCCGAGAGAAGTGGGGCCCTTCTGTGGGCTCCCCTCAGGGCCCCTACCTAACCCTCCCCACCACTCTCTTACCACTGTTTCTGTAAATGGTAACCTGTCAGCTAGCATGTGACTGCAGTTAATCACCCTGCTTGCTTTAGAATTCTAGGAGCTGACTTCAAAAGAGGCAGACTCTGACCTCCAAACATTCCAGCTCGGATATCTGCTGACCTTCAACCAGTTATCTGAACAGACTGTGTCCGCTTGAACAGAGTCCCCTCCACGGAGAGCTCTCAGCACCTCCTTTTGACTCCTCTGTTGTTGTTTTCCTCCCCCTCCCCCTCCCCCTCCCCCTCCCCTCTCCCCTCCTCCCTCTCCCTCCTCCCTCCCGCTCCCCCCTCCTCTCCTAACCTCTCCCTCCTCCCTCCCCCCTCCTTACGAAAACCCCTGCCTGTGTCCAGTTGTTACGTTAGTCTGTGACGAGAGTCACCATCCTCTCAAGCTGCCGGCTCTTAAATAAACTAACTCTCCTTCCACCAGTTCCTGTCTCTAGATTATTGGCTTTCGAGCGGCAAGCAGCTGAACCTGAATTTGGTATCACCTGTTCACCTTGCCGGGGGCAGGTGCTACATGGGTGAGCCCTGGATTTCTACCCAGATGTTCCTCAGCTGTGCCCGGGCCTTCGTTTCCCCGTCTGTGAGATGGCAGAGAACAGCTGCCCTGCCCACTCTGGGTCCTTCCCTCACCCGCTCACCCACCTACTGTGTGCTCGCGTGGAAAGAGAGTCCCACCCTCACTGAGCTGAGATTCTAGTTAAGAGAGACTAAGAATGACCAAACCTGACAAAGAGAGAGAGAGAGTTAGGAGAGATGTGACAGGTCTCTGAAGAACTCAAAACAGAGAGAGCAAGGATGTAGAGACAGTGGCTGGGTGGGACATCAGGGAGGAGGTCAGGAAGAGCTGCTCAGAGCCTCTACATTTCAGTCCTGTGAAAATTTGCTGTATGTGATTTTTGATTCAGAGGAATCAGCAGGTGCAAAGGCCCTGCGTTCAGAGAAGGATCACATCTGGCCTGCCTACAACAGCAGAGTGCATCGCAGAGCCTGCCGGGAGGGGGCAGTTGCTCTGGCCCCGCAAAGCCTTATGGGCCTGGGGGGAAGTTTGGCGTCCACTTGATGGGAGAGGGAAGGTCAAAGCCACCTGAGGACAGAGACTCAGGTTTCCTGTACCTACCTCCGCACACCACGAGGAACAGCTCTGGCAGGATGGAAGGGCCCTGCAAAATCCTTGCCAGGTGGAAAGGTACAAGGGCCTGGGAAGGGTCTTGTTTGTAGGGGACCTCCTGGTCTCTCACAACCACCACCGTCCATCAGCAAATGGTGTGCCGCTAAGGCCCAGCCCTTCCTATTCACCTGCACCTGGCTCTGTCCTAGCCCTAACCTGGCCACGCTATTCCTTTCGAAGTCATCTGCCCTCTGGCCAGTTGCTCCTGGGGGTGAGGTGAGGTTCCCCGTAGGCTGAGAATGTGGGGTCTCCCACCCCAGGGATGCAACAGAACACAGCCAGCGGGAAGAGGCAAAGGGCCCAGGTTCTTCCACCAACACGGTGCATGAAAAGCATTGGGGAGAGGAAACTTCTGATGTGATGAGATGTATCACACCACGTGTGGGCCTTGTTACAATACAATTGGAACAAACTGTGGGAAATAAAAATCTTTATGAGGGAATCAGGGAATAAACCCTGATACGTGTTGGATAATACTGAGGATTATTATTCATTTTAAAGATATGATCA